GAGCAGGGACAAAGGCCACAGATCCACATTGACACATGGGTTAACTTTTCAATCCATTTTTTCATTTCAATAGAAATAATATATCACCTTATCCAGGAGAAAGAAACAGCTTGACACAAAACATAGGGTCCTGGGCTATTTTTATAGTACACCTAAGACTTATAGGGATTCATTTATTTACTTAGCTATTTAAAAGTGGCTACTCTTACTCATTTTCTGGACAGCTAAATGCCAGGTTGCTAAGTTACTGTTACTTGACATAATCTCCTCCCTATCATGTTCCCACATTTGACAGCTTCACATGATTTACTAGGCCAGTCAGCTCGTTATTCACTTGTCCAGTGATGTCTGCATAATAATTTTAAATTCACGTCATGTCCTCCCCAGTAAGCCCCCAGACTCCACATGAAAATATTTAAACTACCTGTCAGCTACTGAGTGCACTTGTAACCACACTGGACAGTGTACCTGAATTTTTCAAATTACAATTATTATAATTAGATTTAGCATCATTCTTCAATATTGTTTTCATTTTAGAAGAGAAAACAATGAGGGGCAAATAATGACCTACATCACTTACAGTCTAATTTTGCTAGGCGAACAGCTCACCTCAGCTGCAGGTGAGACTTAGTGCTTTCAGTTGGCATGAGGAAGGTAACCCTACATAAAATTTGCAGAGTTAAGGGCATTTTCACCTGCTGATCAATTTACATATTCTCCCATGTCATTAGACAGGAGCTAGTCATCAGAAGACGACCATACAAATTACAGACTTTGCTCATTTAACTCCGATCTTTTTTACACTTATTATAATCTGAACTATATTTGGGATCTGTTTTGGCTTCCAGACTAGAAAGCTTCCAATTAGTATCACAGCTGTCCACATACCATCAGAAGTCCACCTAGCTACTTGATGCTTTCCTATAGTGAATATGAATTCTTTTGTTCGTCTAAGTGGGGACGGATTTCCAGATAGCAGTGCCTGCCCAGGTGGTTATGATACAGCCACAAAAGCTTCAGTGCACAGACCAGAGCCTTGCTGCTGCCAGATCATGTCCAACCAATTGCCTAAGCACCCAGCCCAAACTCCCAATTCATACTCCGAGTCCTCCAGAACATGTTGTTTAAAAAATTTCCTTTCTCTTGCATGCAGTGTGGTGCACTTATCAACTCTTTAGCCAGGGGTAAACCAAGGCTAAGGAAGGTCCCTTCTGTGCTCTCCACAGACAGGAAAATGATCACTGCTTGTTCACCCTCAGTGTCACCTACACACCTCCTTTTCCTGGGCCAGGATATGGGTCACATCACATGCAGTGACAGCAAGGTACACTGATGTAAAGCACTGGTACAAGTGTACAGGTAAAGTTTAGGAGACTGGTTTTAAATGTCAGCTCTCTCACCCCATCTGCACTTTGGATCACAACATTTAAATGAATTCATTTTTCTGTGGATGCATATAGCAAGTGACAATTTAAATCCATATTAATAAAATGTGAATTACATGCACATACTTTTAATTGCCTGTCTTCCATATTATCCACACTTTCAAAACCATTGCATTGGTTGGGGAAAAAAAACCCAGACACATTTTAGAACAGAAAGAAGAGTAGGCCACAAGGTATTTGCCTTTATCTTTCAATTTGGTATTAGCAACCTGTATGAAATGCATTCTGTACTATCATTATTGTTTGGCCTTAGTTGTATAAGAGATGATGATGATTACTATTTTTTTATTATTTATTATTATTTTTCACAATCTTCTCAGTTATGCTGGTTGGAAAAGTCAAATCAACAAGAGACTGGTCTGCCATTAACTTTTGTCTGTAGCACTGGGAACAGTCCTTAAAGCATTTACACAAGATGAAAAAAGTAGCTAAGTGTCTCAGGAAATCTACAGGACTGTGAAATTTTGTCTCTGAAGATTTAGGGGTCTGAATGGAGTCAAGACCTTCCCCCTTGAAAATTTTAGAGTATAAATTCAGTTAAATCTTTTTTTTTTAAAGACTGAAAAAAGAAAGGAAAAAAAAAGGCAACATATTAGGAATTACAAACCTCTACAATTACAGAAAACATTAATCAAGTTCAGCTTGAAAAAAGAGCTATGTAAAATCAGAGGTCACAGACCTTCTCAGGAGTACCTCTTCCTTGTAAAGTCTAGCAAAGAAACCCTTGAGATTTACTGAGTCTTCCTGAGGAACTAAATCACTTAATTCCCCAACTTAAAAAACCAAAACAAATCAAAAACAGCAAAAAAAGCAGCCTTTAAGGTATGCATTGCTCCAAGGGTGAGTGCCACGCAGAGCGCCCTTCCTCAGCTCTTTGGGGAGCACAGCTTGGCTTGGGCAAAAATCAGAATTACAGCCCAGTTGTCCACCTTTGGGGCTTAACTGTCTTGGAATCCTTTGTGTTTACCTCTGTAACATCCCCGACAGGACAGAAATATAAATAACCTGGTGTTTTTACTAAGTGAAGTTGCCATGAGGGAGCATACCAAAAGTTCATCAGAGCCTGTGTAAATGGCCCTTACAGGCCAAAAGGTACCTGTAAGTGCTGGAAGCTTAATTCAGATTCTCAAAAATTTTTAGCAAATTTCTGCTGAAACCAAGGGTCATTCTTTCATCTGGAGCATCCAGCCTAAATCTTCTGACACAGGGTTTCTATGGGGAGACCAAAGACTGGATTTTGACCACTGCTGGGCATCACATTCTTTTACTTATTTTCTCTCCATTTCCTGTCAAGTAGAATATGATACCCTGCGTGCAGCCAAAACACATTTCCAGCTAGCTTGTTCTGCAGCATAAATTTGAGAAGAACAAAGTAAAACACTGACAAAACCCTGACACTTCTAGTGCCAGGTGTGCTTCAGCACCACGTGTCATTGGAATCCTCAGCCACAGCCCTGAGGGTATCCAACTGGGGCTGGAGTCTGCTGGGTCCTTGCTGGGCAGACCCAAAGCAGCTCTGTGGTTGCTGTGCTCACACAGGCAGGGCTGTGCAGCCCAGTGCAGTCAGGTGACAAAAGACTGAAGGCAGCCTGTGGGTGCCCCGAACAGCCCAACACCATGCCAAGGGCACAGAGCCCCTGCAAAGCAGCACCAAACCACCCTCCTGCACACGGAGGGGAGCACTCTGGGGGAACCATGTCTGAGGTCCACATGCCAAGACTGTATCTCCACCCCAACACAGGTGTCATGTGCTCCAGGTGCCTTCTGGCCATGCCAGTGCCTATGGTGGACAGGTTTACCCTAGGACAGGCATGAAGGATGCCTCTGGGCACCTACAGCCATAGTCCAGAAAGATCTGCTGGTTTGTATTCCTTCTTCACATGCTCATTACATGTCCTTGTGAGAGAGATCTCCAGAGACACGGAATTCTGCTAAATCTCTGCTCTGTCCACCCCAAGAGTGTCCCAACATTCAATGGCCCACTGGTAGCAGGAGCAGGGACTCTGCAGTTCATCCCCATTCTCTAAAGGCAGCAGAAAGTCCTGCTCCAATCTCAGCAGGTTTCAGAAGGAAGTCCAGCATATTGTGCTTTTTTGTTGACTCAAATTACAGTCATGGTGTAGGAAACAGGGTCACCATCTTGATTAGAAAAAAGACATTTCTGCTTCCTGTGATTTACATACACTGTTCCCACATTAGAAGTGTCACCTGGATGACTGATCCCTGAAATTAACACCATCACATTCTCTTTTGATGCTGTTTACTGCAAACAACTGCTTTCCCCAGCCAACAAGTAATTTATTTCAAATATAGTAATGAACCTAATCGAAATATATAAAGAAGGAAAGAAGACATTTAAAATGTACCAAGTATTTCACACAGCCTTTCAACATTTCCTTTACTTTTGCTCCCTTAGTGTTCTATAGGTAATAAACCTCTGCTCCCTTTGAAGGTTGAAAGTAAATATTATTTATTTCCTTGCATTCATTGCTCCGGGGTGCGCATGCAGCATCTTCTCCGTTACTTCAGGTCTGCACAAGCATGCCTGCCTGCTGCCTCAACACTCTTCTGCAGCAACACTGCCAATCCATAAGGACATCTAGAGCAGCCCAAGATAATGTGTGTGCACAAACCAGGAGCAAGTTTTCCAAGCTCTTTAACTGTGAATTGCAAGGAATAGTAAGAAGCTTATTTTATTTTATAAGCAAGAATAAGTCTTTGCAAACAAGCTGGCATGACTGTTACATATTATTTCAGGTCTGGGTAAGCCTGCAGCACTACCTCCCAGTAACAAGGACATGGCTGGCACAAATTCCCACTGAAATTTTAACTCTTCTACACCAAAAATCAGCTGGTTGGCTGGCAATCCCAGGGAGGTAGCTCTGACAGATTGGAAACTCAACCCATGAGGACAAAAACCTAAATCTGCGAGTGGGACTGGTGGGTTGCAAAACTGTCCTGAGGCAAATCTCACTGCCAACAGGGAACCCCAAGGTTGGGGTGTCTGAGGAAAAGCCTATCTTACACTTAGAGTAAGGCATACAACTTGTGCACACTCCCTTATTTCTTATGACATGATCTTGTTGCAATTAAGCCATTCTCAGTTTGGAATTGCAATTTTCTGTATTCAACCACTGACCAAAGATCACAGAAAAAACACGTCTGTAAGTCTTTAACAAAACCATGAATGATGAGCAATTGTAGTCTAGAGGAAGATTGTAGGTCAGTTTGTGAGTAGAAGAATTAAGGCAACTGAATGTCAGGGTAGGACAGAAATGTGTTCTGGATAGACTCGGGGACTGAGAGCTTGAAAAGAACATGAACATGTGTAAATCCTGACTGAAACAAGCAGGCAGATGCAGAGTATTAGGTGAACTGATCTCACTAAGGAGCACCATGGGCCTACCCCCCGTCTGTGTCTCTTAAAACAGACCCATTGATATGTTATTATTTAACTACAGTGTTGAAGACAGCCCTATAAACCCTTTCCTTGGAAGATGAAAATAACAACACTACAATTATACAGGAGATAAAAAAGTAAAGAGTATTACTTACCCGAAGTATTTCTTCCACACAGCTGGAGTCATTGGGAAGGGCAACCTAGGTTTAAAGAAAAAAAAGAAATGTTTAGTCAGGTGCTGGATGCAAAGTTCAACCACACAGGTGAACAGCTAACAAGCAACTGCCTCTGTTTAAAGACTGCTATATCCACGCTTGCTGCCTACCAAGTTTTCCGGTTCAGATCAACATAAACCACCAGCAGGACCTATTTTGTCAAAAGTTGTTTTTTTTTCTTCCGTGCTGCTTTGTGTTACTAACAACACTTTTGAAGCAATAAAGTATTCTGACTTCCTCACAGTTGAGAACTGGTAGTGGAATTGCCCAAAACTTCTGTGATTGAAGAAGACCCCACTGTTACTCCTATCAGCAGCCTTCAGAGAGAGGGCGAGGTTTGGTTTAACTTGATACATGCTGCAGCGAAGGACAGAGGTGATAACAGGAGAAAGCTGTTATCATCAACTATCTTATCCTACATCTTAATAGGCTAACAGCCCAGATAGCTCTTAAATAAATACTGTAGGAAATACTAGTTGGACTGTAAGGGTGGTTGCTGATTTTGCTGTCCCTCACTCCATCAGCCTGTTACAGGTTCAGTATCTTCTGCAGCCTGTGCAGCACACAGGTATCCACCTCAAGACGCCTGACACCGCTCCTTCTCCCCTTGGAAGATTCAATTTATATCTGCACCCAACCACACACACAAAAAGTGATGCTGCTAATATATTAAAATTGAAAATACTTCTTAAATGGTACCTTACAGCATTTGCCACAATCCCTCATTCTAAGGATATGAAAGAGCACAAAACCTTTAAATACAGTGAACAATTACAGAAACAACAGGCAGATGTGACCTGTATGTACAGCCACTCTGTGGCATTTGTAGAGAGCTATGGTGGGCTCTTATCATGGGGTAAAGCAGGAAATATTCAATGAGATTTTCTGAATGATTCTTCTACCTTATTACACTTAGTAACTAGTTTGGTGAAAGACAGTCATGACTAAATTTAATCCCTGTCATCCTAATCTGCTATAGAGCTTGACCAAACAACCAACCACAGCCTTCTGCCTGCATTTCAGCCAGCACTAAGCTTCAAGAATAAATCCACATAGCTACCGAAGTCAAAGATCACAGAGACCTCTTAGATTACCAAGCTAATTTAGCAAATTTTCCCCATATCTTCTAGAACTACAGCTAGTCTGACCCAAAAACTGTAGGGAAATGGGTCTCCCATTCCTTCCCTTAATAAAATATGTAGTGTTGGTACTTTCTTTATAATGGTTAAAATTTTGTTTTCAGTGTCACGTCAGCTCTTCTGTAGACCTCTTCCCACTACTAGAATTCATTACTCCCCTTCATATTGACATCATTCATAGACATGCAGAATTATATTTCACTTTTCTCAAATGCTGTATGTTCAACTTTTACCTTCTTTCCTGATAAACAAGACTTTCCTCCCCTTTGGATTATTTCATCACTGTTCTCTAAATTCCCAACAGTTCATCAGTATGTTGATAAGGATTACCCATGTGAATAGGACTACACCACACGGCTTTTAATACTTTTTATCTATTATAGATTATAATTTTCCACAATGTCACCTTAAAACTGTCAACCAACCAAAAAAAAAAAAAAATCCTTACCTTTTGTCCCCAGTTTCTACTCAGCTCAAATTACCTACAAGCCTGGCTGAGAAATGTCAGTGAGTGGTCAGAATGAACTGCACCAGGCATGCCATCCACCCTTACACCACAGGACTTGAACTTGATGGGAATTCCTTCATCTCCCTACTTTTCACTTAAATTACTTTTTTCTCTCTCAATACTTTTAAGTTCTCTGCTCACCTGTATTTTCCATTCCTCATACCAGCTCCCCATTCAGTAAGGAATATGGTTAATCAAAAGGTTTTCAAGCAGGGGTGTTACTGCACTGTGCAGTGAGACAGAACACGTGTCTCTAATACACGCCTCATTTTTATTCATTGACAACTAGTATGTTAGAATATGAGAAAACAAAACAAACAGTCCTCCAATAAGTTTACAGTGAACCACAAAATTTCTCACCGCAGAAAAAGGAGCAACCCAAAATCCAGCTGAGTGAGTCAGACTGGGAAGAGTGAGAGCAGCAGAGATACAGAAGCTCTCTTTATTTAACACCCTTCCCTACCATTACACATGCCAGCTGTAATGGTTAGCCAAGGTACTAAGAGTATTTCTTTGCTTAGAAAAGTGATGACTGTGTCCCTCACTATTAATACAGGACAGAGCATGTTCTTGGTTGTCTTACAGTCCTCTTCCAATTCACAACTCTGTTTAGGTTTATGTTACTTCAGTACTAATGATAACAGTAACAGTAAACATAAACAGTAAAGCATTTTACTTTATTAAAGCCCACTATATATTATGCAATTGCAACCAGCTTCTGCTGGCAGCACTTGCTAATAATTTTAAACGCTCATGCATCAATTTAATTGTGTTAATGGCAAAGAAGATTTTAATGGCTTGACAAAACTTTTGTTGCCTTTGGCATTGCTTTGTTTTGAGTCACTGGTATTAAAGTAATGCAAGATGTCAAAGTGCTGTGATTTTCATACAGGGAGATCCAACTAGGAGAGAGCATAAAGAGAAAAAGATTTAGATTGATGCAAACATTAAAAGAATAATTATTACAACATGGCTATCAGAGAGAAGATCAATGTAAGAGTCTTCCATTACACTACTATTAATGGATTTCTAAAGAAGTGAGACTATTTTTCTAAATTCATGCTGCAGTTGCACATTCTAAGAGACTTGAAAGGCACAGAGATCTATTACAAATTTAGTCTGTCTTGAAAAAAAAAAAGAAAAAACAAACTCTCAACCCCTCAAAGTGTGAACTAAAAATTGCAAGTTTAATTGTCCATGAACACTTGCGTTCAGCTAACAAGTGTGAGCAGGCCCACATGGCACACCATGGCATCCAAGCACAGATTCATCGGGGGGACAGAATGAAATGAAACAGAGCAGATACAATATTTATCACTCTCTCAAGTGCTAGAGCTGTAACAAATTGTTATTAGAATTGCCATTAATAAACTGCAACGTTCTTCCTGTAGTTTAGTCAAGATTGGACATTCATCCCATACTACTACTTTCCTAATCTAATAAAAATCAAGCATTTTCAGACCCATTATGTGATTCTCCATCCCTTCTCTCTCCTCTTCAGCTTTCATCACTAATCAGAGCCTAAAATGGACAGCACAGCTTGCACTTGTGCATGCTTTAGGTGCTTTTCTTCCCTTATGAGCTGCATGGTCTAACTCAGCTGAATGGACAGATTCCAGGAATTTGGCTTCTGCAAGACAAAGTGGTTGCAATTCACGTCATGAGCTCTTCTCTCAGCCAGCAATGCATTCACAAGACTGAACAGTGAATGCTACATAAGCTGCAGACAGTTGTCCTGAGATAATAAAACTCCAATCAAAGTGAGAAGATTTCACAACAGCTACATGATACACTGAACTCTTCTTCCAGTTTCCTTTTAATCTGGCAAACTTCTTTTGTATCAAGATGCTTCATGTTTAGTTTTAAATACTGCTTGCTAAAAAAAAAAAAAAAGAGAAAAAGGAGAGGTCAGATGGTCAGAATATTCCACCTACTACAAGCCAGTATTCTACAGCTTTCTTCATTTTTTGGTCTCACAGGAGAGAAGAGAAAGCTTAAATGATGTGGAACCAAAGGGTTTAACATATGGCTTGGGTGGCTAAGTTCTGAACTTTAAAGGGAGGGAAGGAGGGCAGAAATCTAAGCGAGGGAATAGTAGCCTTTAATGTTACATAGATCAAATGACATTGGGTGAATGGTTACAATATCTGATGAGTCAGGTTGGTCTAACCTTCCATTTATTCATTCTACACTTACTTGACTACTCTTACCTCCTGGACAATTTATAAGCTGCATGAGATCAGATTTTGTTTTTGTGGCACAGAAATATTATACAAAGACTCTTTCCCTGTAATTTACATCCAACAGCAGACATTTCTCAGAAACGTTAGCAACACAATCTTCCAACAAACTTGTGAAAATAGTTCTGAAAAACCAAATGTAGTGCCATAAAGCAGAAATACACCATGAATAATGTCTTTGCCAGAACTGAGCAACTACATTTTCATCTGTATAAACTGTTCATGAACAATCCCCCTGGTTTTATTGATGCACAATTGGCATTCAACAAGTAATCTCTTCTTCTTATCTTTGTTTTATTGAAAAGGTAAGTGTAGCATGTAAAATGAATGTAGGAGCCCACTCATTTCTTGCACATGAGCATCTATGTGCTTATACATCAAGATCTCAGCTTTCCTTGTCATCTCCTTTATCAAGGAATCCATTTTTACTCTGGGGAAATGAAGCTCATGATACTGTTTACTCCTTCAAACACAAATTGATTTTTCACTTGCCAGCATGAAAAGATCCTGTGCAGGAGCCTTGATTGATCATTTCCAGTGTGCATCACAGAGTGATAAGAGGAAAACACTTAGAAAACCAGAAACAGCAAAATGAGGACAGTCAGCACAGGCCTTGTCCTCTCAGTGCCTTCAGCTCCTGCCAGGCTTCCCATTAACAGAGAATGTTTGGTTTTTCTGATTTTTTTCTGATTAATACAAGTGGGAAATGGATGGCAGAATAGCAGAATTTCCAGATACAACGCATTGGACTAGATGATGTATGAGCATCCTTCCAACCTGTATGAACCTATGGTTCAATTCTTGCAATATGCTCATTACGAATCTGAGAACATGCAATATTTTACCTGCACTTGGCATACGCACCCATGTCCTTCCAACACCACCTTTCCTTTGACTACTATCAGTGTTTTCTTGCACACTCAGGCTTAATTTCTCTGCTTTAATGGCTCCCAACATTCTGCTCAGCTGCTGACTACACATTCCTCCTCCTGAGAAGATTATTCCATATTTACTTCAAGTAAAGTTCACATCACTGCTCAGAGCCCACTGCTCAAATCTCCTTGGATTGTTTCACAGCTCATGATCCTGCTTCTTTTC